ATTGATAACATGGACTATTCAGCATAGATTTCTTTAGAAATTTTGGACTGTTGGAACTTTAGTTGTGTAGGAATTGAGAGGGGAGAAAATCGGAATACTGCAAATGTGATGAGGTGAAATATGTACAAATTTGCAAAATTAAGGGAAAGCAATGAAAAGACTCAATACTTATCTAGTTAAATGGCCAAATATCTATATACATGCTGAATCTGAAGCATGGACTATTAAGGAACTGATTTCTGAAACTTTTAGACTGTTGGAGCCTTCGTTATGTAAGAATTGAGATGGGAAAAGATCGGAATACTACAAATGCGATTAGGTGAAATATGTACACATTTTCAAGGTTAAGGGTAGAGAAACAAAATAACTCAAGAACTTTCAAACTGAAAGTCTAAATACCTCCTTGATTGACACCATGGACTATTCAGCATAGATTTCTTTAGAAATTTTAGACTGTTGGAACTTTAGTTGTGAGGGAATTGAGAGGGGAGAAAATCGGAATACTGCAAATGCGATGAGGTGAAATATGTACATATTTTCAAAGTCAAGGGTAGAGCAACGAAAACACTCCTTACCTCTCAAACCAAATGGCTGAATATCTAAATACCTGCACAATTTGAATCATTGATTACTTACCAACTGATTTCTTGGAAAATTCAGAATTTTTGGACCTTCAGTTATGTAAGAATTCAGATGGGAAAAGATCGGAATGCAAAAAATAAGTGAGGTGAAATATGTATGAATTTTGAAAGTTAAGGGTAGACACACAAAAAGACTCAATATATCTCCAACCAAAAGACCAAATATCTAAATACCTCCTCGATTTGAAGCGTTGACTATTCAGAACAGATTTCTAAAAAAATGTAGACTGTTGGAGTTTAAGTTATGTCAGAATTGAGAGGGGAAAAGATTGGAATGCTGCAAATGTGATAAGGTGAAATACCTACAAATTTTCAAAATTAAGGGTAGAGTAACAAAAAGACTCCATACCTCTCAAACTAAAAGAGCAAATACCTGTACAGTTTGAATTATGGACTATTGAGGCACTGATTTCTTGGAAATTTAAAATTTTTGGACGTTCACTTATTTAATTCAGAGGGAAAACATCGGAATGCAGCAAATGACATGGGGTGGAATATGTACGTATTATCAAAGTTATAGGTAGAGCAAAGAAAAGACTCAATACCTCTCAAGCTAAAAGACCAAATATCTAAATACCTCTCTAACTAAATGGCTGAATATCTAAATACCAGCTCAATTTGATTTGTTGGATACTTACTAAATGATTTCTTGGAAAATGTAGAATTTTTGGACCTTCAGTTATGTTAG